TGCTTCAGGCCGAAGAGTGAGTGAGGGGTGAAGGAGTAGATTGAAACCAAGGCCGAAGTGGGATCCTCATACTGCCCTTGAATCCAACCCTTTGGCGATTTCCTGACCAAGGTAACCCTGTGGGAGAACCCTTGGACGCAGGTCGCTTTCAAAGGGTTATCATCAGGGGTTTAGTGCGAGGGCCTCATGGCCGTTACGTTCATTTCCTTTGGGCTATTGTGGCCGTTGTGAAACCTTTCTTTGCATAATGTGTGGCCCCCTGAAAGGCCGGTACGAGTGCTACCTGGGTAGTCGTAGGCTGTGTTGGCCGTTGAATGCCCTGGCCGTTATGGGTGTTGTTTTTCCCTCCTTGATCCGTAGGGTCTGCTTCGGTGGTGGGCTGCTGATTTGTAGACAGAGTGGTGGCATCCCATTGGTGGCCATTGGTGTGGCCATTAAGGTGATGCCACGTGTAGTTACCGTTGGGAGGGTTGCTATAAATACCCTTCCCGTTCCGAGGAGATGGCTCATTTGCATTCTGAGTAACGAAGTGCTGCCCAAATATTTTAGAGAGATAAAGCCCTTGCTGAGTGTTCTTCACCCCCTTCAAAACTTCAAGGTTAGTTCTTCAACCCGTTCTTCGATTTTTTACATATTTTGCTCTCCTAGGCCTTGATCCGGTGTTAGTCACAACAACACCTTAGATCTAAAATAGTTTCCCTTAGTGTCTTAGGAGTTGTTTAGGATGAAATCCTTAAACGAGGAATATTACCCGTATGACGACGAGCCCTACGCCAAGTCTCTCGACTATGCTGTGATTGAAGAGTGCGCCGAAGAGATCGAGCGCCTGAGCCCGTACAAATCCGGGGAACCTGCGGATGAGGAGGACGAGGGTCTTGGCCGATGAGGGCACGGCCGATGAGGGCACCCTGGTTCCCTGGCTTTAGGATCATGTTCTGAGTTGGTCCTTCTTCGGCCGACGAGGGTCTTTGGACGACGAGGGCACCGCGTAGCGGCTGTGCTTTCTGTTCTTCTGAGTATGTGGGTCCTGGGGCCTAGACCCATATACTCCATCAATGACATTATCTATTGAGGAAATTATTTTGAGACATTAAATCATTTTGGAAATATGAGAGGGTACTTTTCTATAAATATATACCTATACAAAAACCTATTTTCTAAATTATATTATTTCACGGGTTCGGGTGGAATCTTACTTAGCTCTAAAGCTAATTTTTGTCTCCTTTGTCTTTTTCTCTTTGCTCTATTGTACAGATGATTATGATTATGACGATTGATGTACTTGATGCCGAGTGTTCCGCTAGTTGCACACATTTGATTAATTATCGTTGTTTAAATTTGTAATTCATAAATTTTGTCCTAAGATCTATTTCATTGTTATTTGAACTTATGATGGATAGCTTGTGCACTCAATCATGTATAGGTTGAGTGTGGCGGTGACACACCTGTTTTCCCCTTAAAGACTTCCGTTGTACTCTAAATATGTTTTATAATAAAGATGCTTTCATTTAAAAATTTGATTTTATTTGGGTGGGAAATAGTACAACTATGGTCATGGGAGCACATTCATATCGGCAGAGCTGTCATATTGCGATATCATGGAGAAGTTGGTGGTCCTCTTGATGATGCTATGGATCAGCACGATGCATCCGTACTTGGGCCACATCATGTCCGTGGCGAGGACCCTTTGGGCCGTAAGTACGTTTATGATTTTTCTTTTTGAAATTTATGTATGACGTACGTGAATACATTTTATATTCTTATGCATTACTGTGTGTCAGATGGCTATTTGCTCATGTCACACGCACATCATCCGCCGCTGGATTAGGGTACTACCGAGATGCTTTAGATCGCATGTGTGATGATCAGGTTTATCTTGTATATCATTAGATGTAAGTACTTTGTTTTACGTTTTTATAAACTATGAAGTAACACTGTTTTTTTTTATAGATGACGTGGATGCCGTACACTCATGAGATTCTTGGATTGTTGCTTCCTATTGGCCGAGAGCACACTGAGATATGGCGAGCACGTGTGCCCTTGATATGTTTTGATGTAGTAGAGCATCACTTTCCTGATCGCGTACTACGACAGTTCAGGTTGCAGCAGGTTATTCCTGAACCTTGTGATACATCTGTGGACTTACACAAGATTGACAGACGAGGGAAGCACACTGAAGATTGGGGGATGCGTCATATTCAGTATATCACTATGTGGGATGAGAGAGCGACGTATATAGTGCACGGGACCTCATCCTTAGTCCCTACAGCTAGCCTCTGCAGATTACATGAGATGGTATTACACCATCACACGGGTGTTCATCTCTCCCAGTTTTCGTTTATCCACTGATCATTACCAGCCTAGCTCGGTCGCTCTTCATATGACGGTAAACAATAGTCACAAAAATAACTTTATTTATTTATTCATTTGTTTTTCACTAATAACCATGTTTGTATTACAGATACGGGCTTTGCGTAGCATCCATGACAGAGCGACTGTTGTACTTGATGAGGCAGTAGAAGTACAGGGATACCATGAGGCTTGTTCGGGCATTGTTGCACTGTGCGCTGATGTATTGGGCCGAGTAGATTATGGATATATGTCTGACTCTCAGTATTCCACCGCATCCACATCCATAGCAGGGTCTTCTCAGGCACTCCGACGTGATAGGGTTGTTCTTCAGCCTCGTAACCAGCGCAGGCGCCCCCGAGCACAGCCACAACCACATGAACTTCATGATGATGATGATCACGTTGACTTATGATCTTTGTATTTGTATTATTGTGTGAGAGTTGTAACATGCACTGGTAGATCGAATCATTTTGTGAAACACAGGATTTATTATAACTTTTATGTCTTATTTCAAGTGTCGTGATGCAATGAGTTTCACTGATTCATTTTGTGTTTCAGATGTATTTTGTCTTAGTAAATCATATGTTTGGTTGTTTGTTTGAGTAGAATGGACTCTGATAAGCAGATTTTCTGGTAACTACAGGTTCATTTGTGTAAGAGAAAACTGTCAAATAGATCCTCGAACTTTCATAAAAAGGTCAAATAAGTCCTTCTATAAGAGGTTCTGTCCGGCCGTCGTGATTTGGGGCAGTTCCCGGTGGAATGTTTTTATGAATTTTTTTGAGCATCTTATTCATCAAGTCTAGTTTACTCATACCAAATGTCAGCTAAAAATTCAATCGGGAAAACATTCAAATTAATTCTTGAAGATAACTGCGCATTTTTGTGTTCCCGAATTAATTTGAATGCGCTCCCGATTAATATTTTAGCTGAAATTTGGTATGAGTAAACTAGACTTAATGAATAAGATGCTCAAAAAATTTCATCAAAAAGTTCCACCGGGAACCGCCCGAAATCGCGACGACCGGACAGACTCTCCTATAAAAGGACTCAATTGACTTTTTTATGAAAGTTCGAGGACCTATTTGATAGTTTTCCCTTTGTGTAATTAATAGTTCAGCAGCTTGCTAAACACAAGAGCCGTCACTTCAAGTGGCGGCTTTTGTATACGTATCGAAGAACCGCCACTTCAAGTGGCGGCTTTTGTATAGCACGATGAAGAGCCGCCACTTCGAGTGTCGGCTTTGCTTAACCATGGTTAACCCCAACAGTATTTCGGGAATTATTTTTGAACCGGCAGTATTTCGTGAATAATTTATTTAATTAGCATTATTCCGGGAAAAAACTCGGATTTTATTAATAAAATATATTTTAAATATGTAATATAAATTTTTCATAAATTTCAAGAGATTTGACTGATTAGTCAATTTCAGTGTAACCAAACGAACTCAAAACTAAAAAGTAGGTAGAGTTTAGGGAAAAAATGTTTGACACGTTGATTGTACATGTTTTTGTACACTACCTCTATTTTATTTTTTTACAATTTTAAGGAAGAATCTATATTGGGGCTATGGTGTGCTAAAGCCTAAATTTAAAAAATCATATCTTTTTAGTGTAAATTTTTTCTTTTTTAATACTTAACCCAACTCACTAATGTACAATAAGCCTAATATAATTACGGAGTATCTTTTAGCTCAATCCAACTCAAGTTCCTGAATCCGTCCATGATATAGTTAAAAACACAAATTTACAAAAAAATGTTTGAAATTGTCCGTGTAACGTGTGAAAAGGCATATACACAAAGAAACGACTCTAGAATTTATATGTAGCATTTAAAAAATTATGTCAGAGGTAAAACCTTTAAAAATGTTATTAATTAGATTAAAACTTTTTGACAGATGATCTGTTAAAATTTGATCTGATCTTGTTTAATAGACATATGATGTGTGTGTTTTACTATTGTTTAAGCCTATACTAGTTTGGTGTTGTCAATTTAACTATTTAAGTCTGATCTATTTGGTTTAAATTTGATCTAGTATGATATGGTCTTAATTGAATAGACAGTCCAATTAAAAACATTCTAAACATTTGTTTGAATGAAAGTCGTAAAGATAAACTTCTATGCATTTCTATGAGTAATCACATATTTCCTCTGTCCCGGACAACTTTCCTTTTCACTTACACATACTTATAGAAGATTAAGTTTTATTTTGAGTTCCTAATTACACCCCTACTTTACATCAAATCAAATAAATGGTAAATAAAAAGTGTGGATAGTCATCTCATGATTGGGGTTATTATATGTAGTGGACTAGTGGTTATGACTCCTAGTGCTATTATAATATTGTGTCTCCAAATACTTCTTGTAATTACCCTAAAGGGAATTCGCCTCTGGAACAATAATAATGTCTTATGTTGTCAAAATACTTATTCATTAATTAGTTTTTGCAATTGGAGTTATACTCCATCAATTATATACAATATATTCAAAGAGTTTAATACCTAAAGGGTACACTAAGATGTGTTACAAAACTGCACTTTTAGGAGGAAAATAATGTAAACTTTATTTTTATATAAAGTCTACTTTATTTTAAATAAAATCAGACCAGAAAATTTCACTCCATTTAAAAATATCGTTAATCCTCCAATCCGATCACAACATTATATGCATATGACAAGAGAGCAATGATCCTGTCAAGTAGTTCTAACGGGAATCATTGTTCCAACTCATCTATTTGAGGTGCTTCTGACTTCTGAGTATAAATTTTTTATGAAATTTTGTGAAAATGTTATACATGAAGTGTGGATTATGTCCACAAAACTTTAGCTTAAAATTCAATCGGGAAATAGGCTAAATAAATTATTGAAAAACACTACGCCAAAATGTATACAAAATGCAATGTTTTTCAATAATTTATTTAACTGACTTCTAGATTGCATTTTAGGCTAAAATTTTGTGAACGTAATCTAACCTTAATGAAAAATATTATCACAAAATTTAATTAAAAAAACCCACCTGAAAGCACCTCAAACAAACTAGTTCGGACGATGGTTCCTGTTAGAACTACCTGACCTGATCTTTTTCGTACCAGAACAAATTCTTACACTCTATTATTATTCTTGTTTGCATAGAAAGTGTTGAAGAAAATGCTTTTATATTTATAACTTAAGTTGTATAGTGTGCTATGTAGTTCTCCAGAAAATAAACTCCAAGGGCTATTTGTATCGATTGCTGCCAAACGACTGGTGATGCATGTGTTAACAAAAGGTTAGGCTGAGATGCAAAAAATAGTGGATCAATTGGCTTCTTTTCATCTCCCAATAGGCAGCCATGATGTTTATTCCATCCTACATTTGGATCCCATCAGACCGATTTTTTTCCACCTCACACTTCCATCCCATCAATAGAGGACCGCCTGTCTGAGATGCACGGTCGGGAAAGAATAGAGGCACTCCGCCCTGAATGCCTGCTTCTGAAAGCCAACCCTGTCCAATGGACTTAAATTATTAGCACTTGACAACCTCGATAGGTTCAACTAAAAGTTCCCGAACTTAATAGGAATCATTTGGTTAAAAAATGCTTTTAACATATATAGTAACACAAGGCTATAAACAACTTAATTTACAGTGCGACCGTTAGTCAAGCATAGCTATATTAGCTATCAAATACCCCCTCCGTCCCGCAAAGAAGTTCACGGTTTGACCTACACATATTAAGGAAATAAACTTAACATAGTTAAATTTTACTGTTTTGACTCTGTTTCGACACTGTTTGGCACTGTTCGACACTGTTTTGCACTGTTTGGCACTGTTTTTATGTAGATAACTTCCCATTTAAGGAAGGGGGAACTTCTTTTTGGGACTGCTAAAAAAGGAAAGCGGGAACTTCTTGGCGGGATGGAGGGAGTATACAACAATGAGTTTGATGTCTTTCTGGTTGATACTAGGCATGGCAATGGGTTGGGACGGGGCGGGTACTGCAAGACCCAGACCCGTCCCGTGACTTGACGGGGCGGGTCCGCCCCGCCTCGTGACCTGTACGGGTCCAAACTTGTTGACCCATGATCCTCTTCATGTGGGGCGGGTCCACCCCGCCCCGCCCTACCGTAACCTAATTAGCTAGTATGTATTTTTATTTGTGAGAAGTTGTTACCAATCGAATCTACATAAAATTTATCTTTAAATAATTATTAAAAATTAATATATTAAATCAAATTCACGATACGCTAGAAATTTCAAAAGTTAAGGAAAAATCACTTAGACTTGAATAGTTAATCTATTTAATTATATTAATACTTGAATATATGTAATAAAATGCTATATATAAAGAAGACATTGATAATCCGTCGTTCATCTCAATCTAATACTTCGTGTGTGTGTGTGTGTGTATGTATGTATATATATATATATATATATATATATATATATTGATATATTATAAGATCAAAGAATTTATGATTTATTGTATACACACATATGTATGTCGAAGTATATTTGTAGTACAATTTAAGAAAAAGTATGTCTATACATATATATTGAGTGGGTCAGGGCGGGACGGCACGGGTCAATACTAATACCCGGACTCGCCTCATTGTATAGGGGGGGGGCGGACCCGCCCCATTTGCAAGACGGGGCGGGCAAGACCCACCCCAAATGTCTCGGGTCAGGGCGGATCATTGCGGGCCGTTTTTTTTTTACATCCCTTGTTGATACACTATCATTTAGTGTAACTGATACTATTTAAAGGTAAAATAATCACTGTATAACTCCTATTAGACAACATGGAAAACAAAGACCAACATGCACACAAGAATGCTATCTATCAATGATTCAGGTCTCAAGTTTCACTTCGAGTCTGCTATCGTAGGTAAAACCAGGCCTGTTTATAACACACACTGTGCTATAAATAAGAGTTAAGAGTATGCAACTATCTTGTCAGTCTACAAAAAGAACAGTCATTTAGCAAAAGCTCAGGTAAAGTTTATTGGTCCAATAAATTGCCAATAACTAAACGGCCATATCGGAAGTATAATACTGGGGGTGTACCTTATTTGTTAATAAGTGTATAATATTGGTATTTGTTTGGTTTCTGAATATGTGTGCAGTCCTCCAACGCATCACTTGTATTAAAGTAGAGAGAGTAGCGCTTAATTTAGTATGAAAAGAATAGCTAATTTTCCCTGGACGGGGGCGTACTTACTTAAGGCGCTTCACAAGCGGTATGATTCAGTTGATGAAAAACCCCACTGGCTGCTGTTGTAGTCGTGGATGAATAGTGGTTTCACCGTGCCCAATTATTGTTCCGAGAGATATTCCTTCTCAAGTGCACTAAACATTATCAACAACTGCTCTTGAAGATTGGAAGTGATGTTCTTGGTGATTCTTTTCTGATGTTTAATGTATTTTGACCATTGCACCCTAAAGTATACCTGCACATTGCACCCTGTTGTTCTTGATGAGACATCCTCAACTTGATACCTGTGATGAAGCTGCAACCCAACAACAAGGGGATGAGGTGAGTACTTAAGACTCCAACTGGAAGCCTATTTTTTTCCTTATCAACTTCACAAAACATTAACTTAAATGGATGTATTATTTGAGTAAAAGGGGCAAAAGTTACTGTTTGGCTGGAATAATAATAATAATACACTTGTGCCCTTTAGATTCTATTTCATTTCAATAATTAAAAAAAATACTACATTCCAAAAAAGAGTCATGTTTGACAAATGTGCAAATATTATCTTTATATGTATATATATATATATATATATATATATATATATATTCTTTTTATCCTTTTTATTCTATCATTTTTATGTATATCCATCTCTTTTTATCATAGCTTATCTTTCTTTTCTTTTGGTTAAGATATCATGTATTGATTCATGTTAGCCGACCCCAAAATCTTTTGGGACTAACGCTTGGATGATGTTGTTTGACAAATGTGCAACACTACTACAACTCATTGAAATTTTGAACAGGTGCTGAGGTGCAACCAGTGGCGGAACCAGAACAAAAATTGATTTGGGCGAAAAAAAATCACATCATCGAGTTGGAAATATATATAATCTCTACTATATTCTTTTTTATGTATTTATATAGATTAATTTGATCTCAAATTGAATGCAGAAGAAATATTTTCATTTTCATGAAGTGACTCTTTATTTAGACCTATATACACAAGCGCACACATACACATACATATATATACAATCACATATATTTCCATCTATATTTGTTTTCTAGTGCCCAAACAAAACAATAGACTTTCTCTTAACACGAGAGTTTTTTTCGATTTAAAATGCTTATCATTTTATTTTAAAGTTTTGTTTAAATTTCGATTTAATACGCTCGTTTTAAATATCAAGGTTTAAATAGAAATATAGCTAAACAAATAGAGGAAGATAAATTAAAACTCCCATACGGAGTATATGTAAGTTACTAACTTATCAAGAAAATAATAATTTTGTTTTACTCTTTTCAATTTAACGTTGTTTCTAGGTTATTTGTTTTTTAAAAGGATATTAATTGTTTTATTTATGCAAATTTATTAAATAAATTTAATTATACACATATAATTAAAGTCGCATATTTCAAATATTAACAAGAAGTTTTGGCATATTTGTATTAAAGCAAAGAATAAATAGTTATGTTAAGTTAAAACTTTATAGTCATTGCACTAAACAGAAAATGTAAATAACATGTCAATATTCGAAAAAGTAAAAAAAGTTAAATATTATAAATTGGAAAAATAAAAATGTATAATAAAAGTAAAAAAAATGTAGTGCGATAGGAAAAAATTAAAGGGGAAAATAATTAAAATACCCCAAACTTTAAAGGGGTGTGAGATAAACACCCCAAACTTGCATATGTAATTTAAATACCCCAAACTTTATATAAAAGTTATTTTAGCACCATCTTCATGTATTATTTCTTTCAAAAATATTAATTTTTGGTGTTTATTTCATAATTTGATAATTTTTAGTATTCATAAAGATACAATTAACATTCTAAACTTCCATAGTAAAATAAATAATATTACCCACCACTATATATAATTCTAATGTTTTCAATTTTCTATTTTAAATTATGCATTTAACACCATATATTTACATTTTTGAAAGAAATCATACATAACCATGGTGTTAAAATAACTTTTTATATAAAGTTTGGGGTATTTAAATTACATATGAAAGTTCAGGGTGTTTATTTCACATCCCATCAAACTTTGGGGTATTTTAATTATTTTTTCCAAAATTAAAACTAAAACAGTCACAAAAGAAGAGAAAGTAGAGGAGGTTTAAACAATTAAAAGACTCCAGGCACCAGGGGGACTCGAACCCGGGTTTTTAAGAAAGCTAAAGCGAAGTTCTACCATCTCTGCTACCTAAACTATTGTTTACAAAACAGGTCGGTGTATATTTATTACATTACTTTGAGACAGGGCTGTACATACATATATACATATATATACACCACCATCTCAGGCGAACGGGGGGCGGCAGCACCGGCTCGCCCCCCCCTAGTTCCGCCACTGGGTGCAACTGCTATAAATCATTAACCATTCCTACTCATATTTTGACTAAATTTATACTCCGTATTATTTACCTTTCATGCAACTGTTTTTCATCAGATTACATGAAAAACAGTTTAGTTTGATCAAACAAGACTGTTTTGGATAATTAAGTCCTGTTCACCACAATTACGACAAGCTCGGCAGATTCTATCATTTCAGCAGAACAAGCTCTAAGAGAGAAAAGAAAATGCTATTTGGTATTCCCGTGATGCGCATGCTAAAAAGACTATAGTTATGCTAGCCGTTGCTCAAAAAATCTCGACTAGTCATGATTAATATCCACTAGGTATAAGAGTTCTCATGTTCGGCTTATCGGCTACATCTGGTTCCCACTTAGTCCCCACATTATTCCTCTCATGTTTCGTCAAACCACGATTGATTTGCACCTAGTTGCTATACCCTAAGAATGTGACCCCGGTTGATTTTACATCATTGCTGTTAAGTGTTAACATGAAAGCGATGCAGAAATTTAGGGGGACAATACGTACATTAAAATAGTCGCCCAATGGGACCCCATGAAATGTCAAGACCTCTTCGATGAGCCAACCATTTTTATCAGGAAGGCGGGATTTCTGTTGTGTGCTTGTGACCTCTGCTTTGTAGCGTGATATCCATTTATCAATTTTGTAATAAAGTTGTCTTTGGTAAACATCTGTCTTCTCTGATTCCCATGGGCTGCAGGAATAGTTTAGACACCCCGCTCTCTCCATTACTCTTCTGTCCAGTTCATTCCCGCTAAACAACTCCATGAAAAAATCTGTCTGAACATTGTAGAAATGATAGTTACATAAAGAACTTACGTTCACAGTATGGGTTCTAGAATGCCATTCCACATATAAGTGAGTGGGTTTCGGTTACAAACATGTTAAGTGATCTTATCGCGGACGAATATAAAAATGCAATTCAAAGTTTGACTATGGAACTCCAAATCTCAATAGTTTCACTACAGAAGTGGGCTTTTAGTGATATTCAAAGGCGAGCTCTCCACTTGCCTTAATACAGAATTGCCTATTAAGAGGGTATAGCCCATCCCAAACTAACTGACCCTTGAGTAATGAGATAAAAATAGTTGAAATACGCGTGTAGTTCTCACATCCAAAAGAATGGTATAATTAGACACTTACAGGAATAGAAAGAACAGAGGAATAAGCAATAGACATAGTGAGATCATCATCTCCCGTGGATAAATCAGTCTCTTCACTTTGTATGTTTTTCCCTTCAGTCTCATCATCCACGTGTAAGTTTTTGTCCATTGAGTCCTCATCACTCATCTGGAGGTTCTTAGCCTTGGATTCTTCTTCAACAATTCGTGCCTTTTCCTCTGGGCTCAAAGCTCTTGCCTTCCACAGTGCCATGATCAGTCTGTGAACATTCATTTTTTAAAAACATCAATAAAGCAACCCTCACATCATGCAATGACAATGATAACAACACCCATATTGTTGTATGCTCAACAATATAGTACCAGTTTTCCAAAAGCATATTAATACACGTTCAAACATGCTTTTAAACAATATCAACTTTCCTAGCAAGCAGGTTTGTTATATAACTTTCTAAATGCTCTATATGAGTGAATTATATAAAGCATGAATCCCAAGGGGCCTTGAGTGGGGGTGCAGGGTTATGCTTTATACTAGTAAATAGTTTTTAAAACACAATGTTCAGTTAGGGTCAGTTTGTATCCCAGGAAATACTAGGGAAATATAATAGAAAAGAAACCAGAGGAAACTACGAAGGAATGGAAATTTGGGACAACTAAAGATACTGACTCAATAAATTAATTTTAACTTTTAAGTGTATGTTGATACTCGTTCTATTTATTTGTCTATTATGTAAAGACTAAGAAAGCTTATATCTTTTAACTAAACAATAAGTGATGGATACATAACCCAATGGGAAAATAAAAAATAATTGATACAGTTCCCAGAGAGAGAAGGATAAGTAGTTTTACTGTAGAAGTACCTAAGAGCCATACTGAAGGATACAAAGGACTGAAAATGGAACTTAAGCCTGCCCTCTGCATCTTGAGTCTTTGCACCATGTTTGGCATCAAAGCCTTTGCCTGACTTTAGAGTCATGATAACAATAGGGCTGCCAATTGATGCCAAAGTCTTTGGAATGACTTGAATGTCTTCAATATCTTCCCAATGAAAGAAAAATGTTGTCTTATGTCCAAACAGATCTGCATGAAATCCAAGTATTCTTGCAGAGAGAAAGAGACGACCCTGCACCAAATAAATGCAATTTCATAGACAGTGATTATTCTCTTTCATTGCCAACCAATTGAAGGTGTGATGACATAGATCCATAGAAAACTAGAAGCATGTTCAAACAAACGTATTATATGGAAAAAACACTAAGGGTGTGTCTGGGAGAACGAGCGAAGTCTTCAACCACTCTCCAAATGGCCATCGGATAAATTGCAAAATTGTCAACCAAACAGGTGTGTGTTTAATGGGAGGGAGGCGATTAAACTAGTTCAACCAGTCCAATCCTACTACCGCTGCTTTAGAGCTTGTTTTGGATTACTTATTCTATAAGTCATTTGTCATTTAAGTACTAAAAGCACTTTTTTTTTAAATTTCAAAAAGATATAATCTGGTGATTTCTTAAATATCTTCAAAAAGTGTTTCCTTAACTTAAAAACAATTTTACTATTTATTTTCAAAAGGCTTCCTTTTAAAGTAAAAGTGCACTTCTTCATCTGAGAAAACACCTTCTCTTTGAAAACAACTCTTCCCAATCACAGTCTTTAACTACTCCATATTACTGCTCTACCAAACATACCCCAAAAACAACAGTTATAATATTAACTACCTGAAGGGGCATTTTACGCTTCAACTGACAAGAGAAGTCGTTGATAAGGAACTCCTCTGGTGGAAGATGAAAAAGCTTTTGGAATGCTGAATTTGTTTGTGGAGACCTTAATTTTATCTGCAATATATTTAATCTGAAATTAATAAACAAGCATAAAACAGATAAAATCATAAAATAAATACAGCAACGATTTCCAAAGGTTAACAAAACTGGGACACCTTCTTTCCCACTTCCTTCTCCATCTTAGACAAATAATCTTTGACGACATTGCTACCCTTTGTATTATTCAAGACAATTCTCAAATGCAACTTAGACTGGCAGGCTAGAGCAAACTGGCCTTGAAGGGTAACCCAAATATCAGACAGATCTGATATTTTTGTTTTAACAAAATTGATTTCAGCATGTCCAATAGATGTAGCTTCATGGGAAGGTCCATCAAAATAAAAAACTTCAACATTCAGCAAAGATGGCGGCTCCTCCATTGCATCAAACTCAAATATTTCTGCACAAAACCGCGGTGGAAGTTGTAACAAGCAACTTATTTTGTCCCAAATAGGAGTTATAACAGAGCAAAATAATCTAATTTCCACATATGTAATGTATTTTTTAAAAAATGTTCTCGACAAGTTAAATATTTCATTTTAATGAGTTTATAAATATAGCCAGAATTGATGTTTTCCAATAGTTCTACCTTACTAAATTAAAAGTTGTATGGTGGTGAAACAAGACTCTTTGTTAGGGATGCAAGTAGTATGGCATAAGTAAAAGTGAATACACAATTCATGTACATTCTTGAATTGTAAAGTACAAGTTTTATAGGTTCATGTTATTTAACTAGACCATCATCGAATATTTACCATTCCACTTAGGATATGAACTTCGGAACTTGATTGAGCTCGCCCTAGTTTTACCATTGCAGGTAAAAACCACATATGGATTAGAACAATCGCCTGAGTTAACTGCCACCAGATCACTCCCTTCAAGCAATGCAACAGTCAATAGCCAACCATCTCCCTGTGCTTTGACTCCGTGGTCACCACCTTTGGCTATCACATTCAAAGTAAAACATCATACTTTAGATATGTCATTTAAACTAAATTAGGCAATTAAGCTATTCATTAGTACCTCTTTGTACTCTTGCCTGCATAAATCCTGAAACCAGCTTCAGTGCACGAGTACCCTGCAATACTAACACTCCAGAAACAATCAACTCCCCAATAGAATCCGGCAAATCAAGCCCAATAAACTCTAATCCCTGTATTGTGCTAGGGCTGGAAATCAAGATGTGGAAAATTACATACAATCCCATGACAAACGTAGAAACCACAGTGAAATTAGCAAAATACTGAAAGGCCAGTTTTGTGTCTGATTGTGGTTCCAGCTGAAGAGATCCTAATTCCACCTGCTTCTCCCCCTCATCAACAGGTTTCACACTCTGAGACAATAAGCTTGAGAATTGCTCGAAATTCTCCTTCACTCCTTGTCGTGCTCCGTTTTCAATCAAACCTTTCATCATAGTGCTTTGTAAGAAGTTCATCCGCCATGAAACCATCAACCTCGAAGATTCTTCTCCAGTAGGCAGATCTGGGCCTGAGGTTATGCAGTAGAGCAGTTCTGTCCTAAACGTGTTCCCGTACGGTGCGTCCCGAGTGGTAACTGTGCAAGATACTGCATATGTCTTCCCGTCAGCTTTCAGATAAGTTTGCTCCTCAGTAGTTTTCAAAGCTTTGACCAATTTACTCGCCGCCTTAATGAAAGAGACTACTCTTTTTAAACTCTGACCACCATTGTCGAACTTCCAAGGACCTACACACAACTCTGTGGATCCTTGGGTGTCTATTAACGATTTGAGGAAGGTTGAGTCGGGAGAGAAGAGGATTAAGTTGAGCTCACGTGGTGCGATTGCAAAAACTCGGTCTACGGCTACTCCTGGCAACTTACTCGGAATTTCACTCTCTTGTTCCCTCATCTCCATGCTTCTCATCATTTCTTCAAAGCTGAGTGATGATGATGAAGACTGCTCCTCTTGTGAACCCTCCTCCTTATTATCCAATGCACAGAGATTTTCAGAAACATCTGGACATTTTGCAGAGGTTGCAGCTAGTTCATAGCTGTTCTTGTTGAACATTTGATAAAGCCGGCCAACTAAGGTCTGCGAATTCGGTTTTTCTTCTTTGAATGAGCTGGCTTCTTCTAACCTCGTTGGGGACGGGAAATTGAATGAGCCAAAGGAAAACCTTGAAACACATTCATTTCCTGCAACATCCAAACTATGCTTCTTTGATGGCAGGGGAAAAAGGTCACTTCCGGCCTGCATGTCTGGGGCGAACGAATTATTTTGAGAGAAACAAACTGTGAGAAGAATTTGGCCTGGAAAAACAAATTAGATTAATGATAAAGATCATAGATTTTTTACACCACTTTTAGCTTAGTAGATGCATATATACTTCATTAGTGACTTGAAATGATTCTAAATCAACCACCGTTTATTACAAGGAACAAGAAGAGGAAGCTTATATACCACAGTCCCGATTCTTAGCTTTTTTATTCTTGGGGTGCAAAGTGTACCAAGCAGTTCCAAGGGACTTCCCATCAGCTTCAAGAACCTGGGAAATGTTGATCTTAACCTGGCCCACAAAATCGTCATTGAAGTACTTATCTTCGCCAAGAACAGAAACCACCAGCTCTTCCTCCTTGTACTCTTCAACCAGAAAGCCGAATTCCTCACACCATGATGGGTTCAAACATTTCTTCACCACCTTAGTCCGGAACTTCTGCTTCCCCATCTGCACTTTCACGTAGGCATCACTGAGCCCATTTTGGTCATTTCCCTGCATGTTCCGCGCCTCAATCACTCGCACTAGAAGCTTCATTTTCCTCCCCCTCTGCCCTCAATAAAACGTTATTGTGGCATTTCAAAGTTCAACCGAAGATCAATCATTTATTAAAAGTTAAAAAATTTCTTGCGTTGAAATAAAGGATTGTACACCGGAAAGATCCCAAATTTTGGAAAAAGAAAAATTGCAAATTGCTAATGTAATGGGATTAAACCGATGGAAGGATCGCAATTAACAATGCAGAGTAAACCTAATGTCTGGATTGGTGAATGGTGGGTAAGTAATGCAAAGGAAGTGGAAGAAAACCAAATTTTAATGGAAACTGGGAAGGGAAAGGCTTAACATTGCGATATAGAGAATATGAGAAACATCTAAAAAATTATTTTGTTAATTTGAGAGAGATTCAGATATTTTATACCCCGAAGCAGTGGCATAAGTTTTCATGGCTCCATTTGAAAGGGGAGGGAAACAGGGGACAGCATGGGGAGGCTAGAGCGGGCAGAAAACAATAAAAAGGGACTCCCTTTTTATTTTCGTTTTTTCTTGTTTTTCCTCCTCTCAGTATAAATTTCATTTTTCTCATTCTTTGACAAAGAATGTGTGATCAAGGATGTTTTTACTTAATTCGTCCCGGACCAGATCAGACTAAACCAGACTAATTCAGATCAGACCAGACTTGGATAGTTATAAAAATACAAAGAAATCAGACCAGACCATCAAATTACATTCAAAGTAAAAACATCCCAAGTCTCGTAGTATTTGTCTTTACTTTTTGTCTCTTATGTATAACTTCAGGTAATACGTTTTCCCTTTCTTGTATGTGTCAAATAAAAACAGAAGTTAATATTGGGACAGAATGACTCCCTAATTCATAAAAACATGATTTTGTGTTTGAAAACGTATGAGACACCTAAGTTATGGAGTATTCGAAATAAAACAAATTAGTCACTATATACATGTAAAATAGTGCTATATCTACTTACTTAATAATAAAGTAGAATCTTCAAATTGAAATTGATTTGTAAATTAATTACTATTGAGTATAATTGATAAATTAAACAATTGTTATCAAGTACAAGAAATAAATTGACCTCACATTCATTCCTTTCCAAACTTCTTAAATGCTAAGAGTTGTATGATCTTTTAATCTATGGTATCAATAGTCAATAAATATCATGAATTAAAATTACATAGCTTAGAAATCTACGTTTCTTGGATACTATTCATACATTTGGGTCAAGTTTTCACTAATTAACAAAAATCGTGCATGGCTTAATAAACTATTTCCAAATTTTATAAATCTTTGGTCAATTTATAAATAGGAACTTATTTATTCAGTCATCAAATAAGGAGTTTCAATTATTCTTATATTAGAACTAAACTATTTTGTGAATAAAACCTATTTATCTGTAGCGAATTGAAGTACGTGCTATATCTATTTTGTAATACCTAAATTGCTTCCGCCACTATTATGAAAAATATATATTATTAGAAAATGTATAAATTTTAATTTCAACATCCATTAAGAACTTCAAATAACAACCCATAATAATGAATGCATTTGTATAATTTTTTATTTGAAAGTGTATTTGTATTTTTTTTCTTGCTTTTTTATTAGCCATTGCATATCGAGCTTTATCAAAAACCATTTTAAATTAAATAACTTGCTATAGTGTATAAGCTATTTAAAAAATATTCTAAGACTGAGTATTCATAGAGTTTTTGACCAAGAAACTCTCATCTGAAAGACACCTATTGAATGCAAGGCGGCGACCTTTCTTTCAATGCTTTCTAGCATGTTCGGCCAAGACACAAAAAACGTACCACAAAAATAAAGTTTGAAGCCTACTTCTAGAAACAATTTCTCATTCATTTGTAAATGGTTTTCACATTTTAATATTCCCTCCGGTCCCAAATGAAATTCACACTTTGACTTCACACAAATTAAGGAAAATAAATTTGACTTTACTGTAGAGTACACTGTTGTGACACTGTTTTGATGTAGATAATTTGCCAAATAAGGAAGGGAGAAGAAGCATGAAGTTTATTTTGGACCTACCCAAAAAGGAAAGTGTGAATTTCATTTGGGACCGGAGGGAATATAGGGTTGTTTTCAACTTTCAGAGCACTATACTTTAGGACTTGGTTCTACCGCAAACTAGTTGTGGATTCCTTATTTATTTTAGCTCAAAGATGGTTATTATATTACTCTATCCATATTTAAAAATTTGCTACATTTTCTTATTTGAGATATATTTAAAAATTTGCTACACTTTTTGTTTCTTGGTAAATTTTTTCTTTAAAATTTCCCGATTACCCATATTTATTCTATTTTTATTTTCTTTTTCCTACCTTTTATTTTGTCTCGTACTTTTTTTAAACTATTCATTAACCTCCCCTTTTAAATATTGTACTACCTCCATTCCTATTATAACTTCCAAATATGTTTCGCACACAATTTAAGATAGTGAGTATTGTGTGGTGAAGAGTTGTGCATAAATGTGTAAGAAATGTTGTGAATCACAAATTCGTTACCAAAAAGGGAAAGTGAAAATTTTAATTGGAACGAAGGAAAAAGGAAAGCTGAATGTTATAATAGGAAGGGAGAGAGTAATAAGATCGAAGGCAGAGATGTTTTAAATAGAGAGGGAGTGAAATAAAACCATTTTTCCGACATACTTTATCGATTCGGCTTAGAGCTTACGCACAGGCATAGCATGAATCTACAGTAACTGACTCACTTCATCCAATACAGCCAGAAAAGTAACTTCAACCTTACTTTTTCTTATTATTACATAATTCAACGCGCGAAATCAGGAATTACGTGTATAGTTAAAAAAATGACCGATAAGCCTAATAGGTCGAAAAACAGAGTCACCAAACGGGCATTGAATGTGTATTACTCCGTATTTCTACAATGGCATTGTACCAAAATATCTAATATTGTATAGATCAATTGAGTCATGTGTTTCTGCAGAAGGCCTGTCATGAAGATTCAAGTGTTTTCAAGTTTCAGATGGTTACTCAAACATTCAAGTGATTGATGATCAATTTAAAAAACATGTATGGTAAAGATACCAATATAACAAAAAATCATGAAAGGAAGTGTTTTTTTTTACACAAAAAGTTTAATTCATTTCATCAATCACAATGTTCTCAATACAGTAAGGAACAAATAAAAAATTGTGCAAGAAGCATGACTAGTAGATGCTCTAGCAAGAACATGAGCACTACTATTAGCTTGTCGCCTAGCAAAAACGACACAGAAGTCGTTATTAGACCCAACAAGATCCCTACAATCTTGTACTAGAGATCCATATTCAGATCGATCCCTGTGTGCGTTGTAAATATCATCCACCTACTTCTTGCAACCAGACTCAAAAATAACTCTTGTATACTCAGTCTCCTACATCCATTTAAGAGCTTCCCTCAAGCTCCAAGCTTCTGCCTCAGCTGGACTCATTTCCGCTCTCATCCATGAAGTTTTGCCCCTGGAAAATCTTCCCATATGGTCTCTGATGGAGTATATGGCCCAGGAACCCCCGGTCCATAGACTCTCACTACTTTAGCAGAGGCCCAATAGGCCTAGAATGCACAGCAGGCCCAAATCACAGTTGGCCTAGAAAACCCTGTACCTTTACCTTGGTGTTAGTCCGGCAGCCACCAGCTCAGTACTCATCTGGGAAGAAGATGGCATCCAACATGCCATCTTCTATGTTAGCAAGACCCTCAGGGAAGCGGAACTCCGGTATTCCCCTATGGAAAAACGGTGCTAGCTATTGTTTGGACTGTGAAGAAGCTTGGCCATTACTTTAAGGCCCATCCGGTCCAAGTCCTTACGCATCAACCCCTCAGCGCTTTGATGAGGAGCCCCACCAGCTCCTCCTGAATGGTAAAATGGGCTATCTTCCTCAGCCAATACAACACCGACACCCGTCCGAGGCTTGCCATAAAGGGCCAAGCCCTGACGGACTTCGTGACGGAGTGCACGGCCAGATCAGCGGTGGATGAGGAGCCCTCGACACCTTCGGACGAGTGGTGGACCCTTTATACCGATGGCTCCTCAGCCACCAAAGCATGCGGAGGAGGAGTAGTTCTCATTACTCCCGAAGGCTTCCGGGCCTACTATGCCATCCGTTTCTCCTTCAAAGTCTCCAACAACGAAGCGGAATATGAGGCCCTCCTCTGTGGCCTTCGGCTGACAGCAAATATGAAGGCCAGAATGATCCACGTCAGGTGTGACTCCAAGCTTGTCGTGGGCCAAATCTCCGGGGAGTATGAGGCCAAGGAAGGGAGGATGAAACAATACAAGGAGGCAGCTAAAGAATTGCTCAAGGTATTTGAGGCACACTCTCTCACCCAAATACCGAGGGCTCAAAATTATGAGGCCGATATTTTATCAAAACTCTCGGATGAATCTCCCGAGCACCTCTCCAAAATGGCAAGGATAGAAGAGCTCAACCTCTCAAGCATACACGTCAGTCCAATCATGAATATACAACAAAGATCGGAGGATTGGATCTCAGACATCATTGCCTTCATCACCACAGCGCAACTGCCCGAGGATGAGGCCCGCTCCAAGCTAGCAAAAGTGAGGGCCCCCAGCTACACCATCGAGGACGGAAGGCTCTGCAAACGATCTTACAATGGTACGCTGCTCCGGTGCCTTCATCAAGATGAAGCCGAAGTTGCAATGGAGGAAGTGCACAGTAGTGGCACTTGTTCGTCTCATCAGGGACCCTTCTCCATGTCCCGAAGGCTCATAATCCAGGGCTATTCCTGGCCTACAATGGCCCGAGATTGTGCGGATCTCGCTCGAAGGTGTACCGCATGTCAACACTTCCAGAAAGCCCCTGGCAGGCCAGCGGTCAACTATGCCCCCATCAGCACATCTATACCATTCGCTGGATGGGGCATAGACCTTGTGGGCCCTCTGCCGAGGGGTACCTCCAACAACAGGTACATCATCATTGCCATTGACTACTTCACCAAGTGGGTGGAGGCTGAGCCTCTCGCCAGCATTACTGAGGCCAGGTGTCGCCACTTTATCCTAAAGAACATTCTCACAAGGTTTGGTATCCCCCAACAAATCATCTCCGACAATGGGACCCAATTTGAGGCAGCCCCCTTCTGTGCCCTCCTAGAGGCATGGGGCATCAAGCACACCTTCTCATCCGTTGCTTACCCCCAAGGCAACGGTCAAGTGGAGAATGCCAACCGGACATTACTTGAGGGCCTCAAAAAGAAGCTGGAGGCCGAAGGGGGAGGCTGGGTGGAAGAACTCCACAATATCCTATGGGCTTACCGCACTACCCCTTGGCGGGCAACAGGCGAGATACCCTTCTCCCTATGCTATGGATTTGAAGCCAAAGCTCCTACTGAAGTGACCATTCTACCCGAAGGGTATCCCAGTATGATCCCGAAGTCAACGACGCCAACATGGCCCTCGACCTTCACCTCATCTCAGAATGACGAGAGCAAGCCTTCATACGAGCGGAAAACTACCGAAGGCAAATCAAAAGCTAT